ATGTACAATCATGGCTGCGCCGCCCGCACGCTCCGGTAAAATTTGAGGTTCAGGGATTGCAGGCTGGCTGGGGCGGGTGCATTTCTCTGCGTGTGAGATTATTTATTTCTTTTTAACCCCCCCCCAACACACACACACACACACACACCCCTTCCCCTCCCCGCTCCAGCCGCTTTATGTCGCTTCTTTCTTCATGTTTTTGTTCCCCCCTCCCTCCCCTCTCCCGAGCAAACCGAGCAGGAATCCGAGTGTGCACCCGTGTGTGCAAACCGCTGGATGCGTGCCCGAGCCAGGCAACATGGATCGCTCCGGAGGGATGAGTTGGGACCGTTCCGCAAATCCTATTATCTCCGCAATTCCTCTCTGACAGCTCGGGCTCCGCGAGCGCCACCGCCTGTCCTGCTCTCCCAGGCTTGTGCTGCAGGAGCTTTTAACCCGTTGGCACCTGTTTTGTTCTCTTTAGGGAGAAAAATACCCCTTTGGAGGTTTATGCCCAGCAGGACGAGTGCCAGAAATCACCTGGAAACCAGTCAAAAAGAAATAATCCTACTGTGTAGTGAGTAGCTGTATGGGATTGCGCCTGCAGGTCCCGTAAACCCACGCGCTACCACGAGGCTCCTGGTCTATCACGAGAAACAGCCCTTGCCTTGGCCACATCACCCAGAACACACAAGGAGAAATGAGGAAAACCCAAGTACAGAGCGCAAGAATAATTAAATCTTAGAAAAGAGGCCTAGGAGGAACCCAAAGAATCCAGGTAACGCCTTCCCGCAGCTCCAGCTCTACCTGAAATCATCTGCCCGAGGACACGGAGCAGCTCCAAGGGAACAGGGGTTTCATGGTCTCTCGTCCTTAGTGACCTCATGGAAAAAAAAAAAAAAAAAAGGAAGGGCCTGATGCCAGAGTGGGCAAAGAAACAGTAGAAGGTGTAACTGGACAATTTTTTGCCTGCACTGATAAATAAAAATGTCCTCTTAAGTTGCTACGCTGTATAGTAGGGCGTTTTGTGGGGCTGATGGAGGAACAGTATACAGGAAGGTCAATAAAAATGTGCCTGATTTGCATTACTACTTTTCAATCCTGTTCCTCTAATTCCTTGGGGTTTTAAAAAAAAAAAGAAGTGCCGTAAATTAGATCAAAAGGAGAGAGGATTGTGTCTTGCTTGGCAAATGCATGGGGTTCATGGAACCGCTAGGCTCCCGGAAATCTTCTTTTTCCTTATTCTCTGTGGATCGTGAGGGCTGAAGAGAGATGGTCGCATTAGTGAAGGAAACACCGATAAAATAAATAATCAAAAGCTGTTCTCTCTGCTTCCAGGAGCAGGCGCTTAAAATTATTTTCAGATGCTGGCACGTACGTGAACAGCCGGGTTGTACCTTTACCCAAAAGTCAGCCTTGGAAGCCACCAAGGTTTCTGCAGGAAGATGCCTCCCTGGAACCCAACCTCGGCAGTTCTGCTCTCCTGCCTGCAAGCGCATCGCTGCAGTGACTCCGCGGGAACTCGTCCTCATTTACAGCACCTTCGATAAGACCAGAAACAGCGTCAACGCCTCAGACGGGCGACCCTCTTCTCGCTCAAAGAGCTTCCCTTGCGACAGGTAGTCTTCGAAAGGTCAGCGCATCCCATCATATAGTTTCTTATTTAAAAAAAAAAAATCTTCTCATCAGAAAGCGGAGAGGAAACCCATTCCCGCAGCCCTAATAATCACCAGTTTAGCATCCTTTAGATTGCACCTGTTCAAGCGTTACATCAAGGGGCTGGAAGGCAGACGGCTCCCTGAGAAGCTGCCTGCTGGGTTGCTGTCTTCCTTTTATTACATTCCTTTGAGAGTCACAGGGGCAGACAATACGTTCACCACATTGCTGGAAATTCACTCAGCCTTAGCTCACTTTTCTGGGAGGGTTTCCCCTCCTCTCCCCCTCTTCTTTTTTTTTTTTTTTTTTTTTTTTTTTTTTTAAAAAAAAAAAAAAGGGGGGGGAAATCTGGCTGGTTGCCTTTGTAACCTGAAGGAGATCCTTGTGGTTTAAGATTGTCTTAGGCTACAGGACAAAATGCTAAACATCCGCCGTCCCCTGACGGTCTTGGTTCCAGTTGGCCATGCTAGCAGACACTTGGACTTGAACTGCAAATTTGCCTTTAGGGGATTAAGTTCCAATTTACATAACTAATCCCTGCGGTGAGGAAAGGCTAGGCCAGAGAGGAAAGGGCAGGATGGTTTCTTGAGAAAAATTTAGGGGAAAGTTACAACTGTGAAGACTGAGACATGGCGATATTTAATTTATATTATTCGTCTGTTATTTTAACACAGAGTTTTTCAAATGTGGCCGTATGTAGGAAGGAGGCGAAGTTAAAGGGATATGTACTGACTCGTGGGAACCGCTACCCTTGCGTATCTCGGGCATAACTGCAGACCTAAGTTACAGAGCAGTTGTTACTAAACTTAGCCGTTTACTACTATATCTAGAAAACTGTGGATAAGAGAACTGGCTTCTGCACAGGCTCATACATCATGAGCAGAGCTGTTGGCCTTATCTCCATCTGCAGAGGCTTTGTTACAGACCATCCTTCATTTTCAGGGGGATCCTTTGCATTTACTTGATTACTATTTAAAAATAACGTCAATTTAGCGTCTAAGTGCTCGACATGGAAATTCTTGAGATACAAAAAAATACCCTTACTGGGGTGTAAGGCCATATTATTGCGTTTTCCAGATTATTCATACTTCAGCTATTTTATCTATATGCTATATTAAAGAAAAGAAAAAAAGGCAAGAAGATTTCTCTTTCCTATGATAACTCCACATGCTTTTAGGAAATTTAAATCCTGATCTGTAGGAGAGAAGTGCTTATGGCCCAGCTTACACAAAGGGTCGATGCGAGGAAACACTGGGATGTACAGACTTAATGGCTTGCAGTGATAGATTGCCTCTCTGCACAGTGTCCCAGCCTTTCCCAACGGCTTCTCCTGGGAACGAAGCCTCTTCCTTCCTCCATTTATGGGGAAGCTGTCACTTGAGGTTATCATGAGTAAGGACTGTAATTTATCCGGGTCCAAGGAGGGCTAAAACTTGCCTATTTGTGGACAGGCAAATCTGTGCCCCTGTTTAACGAACCTGTTTGCTCTATCAGATTTTATCTCGTTCCCCTTGGGCAGGTTGGAGGGAGAGGGAATTGTGCAGATAAGAGTAGTAATCCTCACTAGGCAGCCAAATTCCTTCGAGTCGCTAGCAAGAACCGCTATTTTAAAGTATAAATCTCTCAGCTGGCACCGCAGGATCAGTTCCACAGATAGCAGCAGCCAAGTCTTATCCTCCGTTAGCAGCAGCCACCAGGGAGAACGTGACAGAACTGGAGAACTCTCCAGACCGTATCTCTCTTAGAAAGTTGTTTTCTCATTTTAGACCAAACTTTTCATCCGTCTCACCGGCGCGGATACGTTGAGCTCCTTCATCGCTCCGTACACCCTCATGAGAAGACCACACGCATTATTTAGACACGTAATTTAAACAAAATTATTGAGTTGGGCTTTCTTTAAAGCTTTGCTTGCGATGTTTTTCTCTGTAATCCTTTGGTTTGGATACCACAGCGTCTCAAAACATTGGGAAGGATTCTGCTAGCTGTCAAATTTCAAGGCCAACAAGTGTCCCGCCTTGAAGAGGTAGATCATCTATGGCAGAGAATTCTTCTGCGAATCTGGAAAGCTTCCAGCTCTGCCACTGACCTGTTGCAACACATTAAGTAATTATTTTGCTTTTCTCTTCTTACTGTCTGGATTATTCGACCTTCAAGGCGGTGAAGCCAATTTATCACACCTTCTGTGCTAATCCAGGATCAGTAGGGTCGTGATGGTACTCAGAGCCTCTGCATGTTCCATCATCGTACTTAATACTAATCGTAATACGAACAAAAATGAGAATGATGGTAACGATAGTGCCAAGTCATCAAATGTGACAGTGGTACGCACAAAACTGCACCCTAATTTATTTTTTTCCTCTCCCACATACAATGCTGCTAACCAGATAGTTCCGGAGTTTCGCAGCCTATGTGGTGGGTTGATAAATGATATAAACTTTTTCCACTTCTCTCCACCAAAAATTGGTTTTTATTACCTAGCAACAGAAGGTTCGTATGCACAAGGCAGGCGGGACAAGGGGTGCTTGCTAATCTTGGTATTTCTCTACGCTCTAGATGGGGGAGAGCTCTTCCAACCCAATGAAATCTCAGCCGCAATCAGTCAGCACTCGGGTGCCGGTTTCCCTGCCCTATATACGGCCTCTTTTCACATCGTCGGACAAGGAAAAAGCTCCACGGAGGTCTGCAAAGGCTTCTCGTGCCCTGCAGGACTGGCAGCTGGGAGTGTGGACTGCGACCTGCGAAGGCAAAGGCTCTGTTTGAACAGGAGCTTCGGCTGCCTCGGCAGCGCGGTGGTTCCCGAGGGAGAGAAAGTGAGACCTTTGCCCCTGGTCTTCATCAACCACACCTACCAAAAAGCCCGTCTCTTTTCTGCCCTGCTCATAGCCCCACCCAGAGCATTTTGTCGAGGTATCTTTTCTTACGAAACAACTCTGTTTAGTGAAGATATTCCCGAAAGAAAAAGAAACGGCTTTCAGAACAGATTGTTGACTCGGCGTTTATAGTTTCCTGGACAGGTTACTCTGTGCTGGCTCCATTACGGGCTAAATGCTGCATTTCTAACGTACAAACACCCTCGGAAAGATTCAAGAGAGTCAAGAAAACCAAGAGCCAAACACACTCACCCCCCAGGGCTTTGCTTCGTCAGTAACTTTCTGGCCTTGGACAAGTCACTTCCTCCCTTTGTGCCTCATTTTCCCCCTTTGTCTGACCAGTTCCCTACTGCAGAGCACTTTTGGGTTGTTTATCCGTAAAA